GGCCCCGCGTGAGCTCCATGGAATATTGTCTCCTGTGTGCCAGGCCGCTGCCTGGGGCACGCTCAGCTGGAACCACCACCACCACCTCTTCTCCCCAGTTCCCCCAAGGATGGGATTACCTGGGCCCTATTAAGGATGGGAAAATGCTCCAGACGAGTGCTGCTGGTGCAGAACTGGTGGGAAATGGCATAAATCCACATTCCAGGTTAGTTCCTAGAAACGTGCCGCTTCGCCGGTGGGCGCTGTGCCAGCTCCTGCCTGCCCATCGCCTTCCCACTGGATCTGCCCCGTCTGCACAGGGACCCCGTGGCCGGCTAACCCAACACAGATGCCATTGTTTGCCCGTGAGCGATCGGATCCGGTTTGTGCCGCGGGGCCGTGGGTGCGCTGACCCGGCACTAACGGCGGTGGGACCGTGACCCCCCTCAGACAGCGGCTCCGGTGCCGGAGCTCGTTCCTCGGGAAGGGTTAAGCGGTTCTCCCGCTGGCTGAGGATGTTCAGGGAAGCGTTGGCCGCCCGCTGAGCCCACTGAAGTGGGTCCAAGCGGGGCTGGCCAGGCGTGAGAGCCTGCCCCAGGAGCTCGGGGGCTCTGCTGAGGTTTGGGGGGGCCCCTCCTCTGTGTGCTCTGGTGCAGCCAGCGCTGCCGGTTCCCACTGCTGCCCCTCCGAGCTGGCTGGTTTGCTGGTGTCAGTGAAATCGCTGGTGGAGCCGAGGCCGAGGGTGCCCCGGGAGCAGGGGATGCTCAGCTGGTGACAGGGCTGTGGCAGAGCTGTTGGTGGGTCTCTGGCCAGCAGAGCCGTGCCTGGCCGTGTCACCTCCCCGGGCAGACACAATCCACCCCCATGCGTTTGGCTGTGGGGAGGCTGTGGGGATTGCAGTGGGGGTGGGAGGTCAGAGCAACCTTCAGGGGAGCCAGGATGTGCCTGGGCTTGGGCTGGGACACCTCGCTTGTCCCTCAGATCCCATTGAGAATCCCTCCTTCCCGCTTCTGCCTTGCTTTTCGAGGCCTGAGATCCTGTTACAGTCACCTTTATCAGACCGCTTTGGATCTCCTCAGAGCAGATAAGCTTTGCTTGGCAAGATCCCTGCGACACGGACACACTGGCCAGTGCTAATGGCTCTTTATCAGCTCATCTCCTGCCAGATCTCCTAGCCCAGGAGCTGGTGGTGCCAGGCCACCACCACCCTGTGCTGCCAGAGCCTTGCTGGGCACAGCCTTGCCCTTCCTCCAGGTTTCCCAGTGCCTGCTGAGAGCTCGGCCATGGGGAGCGGGCAGGGCTCTGCCTACAGCATCCCTCGCTCCACCGAGACACACGGGACCAGCCTGCACTGTGGGGGGGTGTCCCTGTGGCCACGAGTTTTGGCACCTACATGGCCCGGGTGGGTCCTGTGACCTTGCTGGCCGGCGGGCGGCCAGAGCTCAGCCTTGGTGTGGGGAGCACACGGTTCCTCTTCCTTCCTTCGGCCTCAGCTAATAAAAGCCACCATCCCTGCGTGACAGCGAGGTCGGTCCAGAGGATCCCAGGCAGCACTGACCAGCACAGGGTGAGTGGGGCCCTGGCTCAGGGCACGGTGGTGCCCAGGGTGGCAGGGCGGAAGGGGAGCAGGATCCATCTGGTACGGTTGCCGGGGAGCATGGCTGGTTGCCATGCCACCCTGGGGCTCCCAGTACCGCTGCTGGAGACGTGCCCCTAATAGGCACAGACGAGCCCACGCAGTGCAGGGCGAGTCCCGACCGGGCTGCCTGTCTCGGCAGCCCCACGTGCCGCACGTGCCAGCTCCCCACCAGTCTGGGCACAGGGCACTGCTGTGCCACAAGCAGGCCACCGCCAGCTTGTACCTGGCCTCTGCCTCACCTTGGCTAAGTCTCGGTGCGGGCAGGTCCCTCCCCTCGCCTGGCACGGCTGCCGGAGGAGGAGACAGGCGCCGGCCGCCCTCCTCCAGGAACAGAGTCAAGCCCGAGCCAAGCGGGGCCGACCTGGCCGACTTCGCAGCCCACCCGGGCCACCGCCACCACCTGCCTGGCACGCCGGGCCCCACCACGGGCACAGGTAGGAGCCGGCATGCCGGCAGGGAGCCCTGGGACGACACGGCCCTGGGCACGGCACAGCCGT